GGTCGGGGGCTCGCTGCTGGCGGCGCCGGGAGCGGGGCGCGATTGGGGCCGCTGCCGCAAACGAGCAGTGGTCATGCGTTCTCCGCATGGCGTGGAGGGGTGGCGCGTGCGGTTGGTGGCTGGTCAACCGCAGCGCGCTGAGTCGCGCGCTCTGCGCCGCTGCCATCGTCCGTGGCAGATGATCTGTCGAGGACGTCCGGCGCGCGTGCAGCCACCCACGGCGCACCTTTGCGGCGAGCTCCTTGCTCAGCGCCGCCAGCTGGTCTTTGAGCGATGCGCACTCCGCCTCCAGCCAGCGCTCCCGCTGATCCGACGCCGCTTCGGGCTCGGCCAGGAACATGAAAGTATCCATGGTTCCCTACGAAATCACTAAGATGTTATGACTTCCATTGCCTAGGTCTGCCTCAGTACCAATGTTGTACGATACTGTCCATGTCAAAAAACAAGACATCAGAGATCATACAGGCAGTGAAGCAAACTGAAGATGTTAAGCAAGAATATTTTGTCGGATGCATTATTCCCGAATTGCGACAGCAATGAGGGACACCGATCTGGGGGCAGGGCCGGATTACTAAACATGTGGGTCACCCGTGTCACCCGTTCCTATAAGCAAGCACGGCGCATGTTTGAGGCTGCATGCATGCAGAAAGCTTTGTAAAGTGGTTGCTCCGTATTTGGGCACCGTGTTCTTACGGTGCCGCCAGCATGATCCGAACGAGAGGAGACGTCCCGAGTGTGTGTTCTGGAGCAAGCGTCCCGTCGGCAGATTGACTGTCGTAGACAGCTTCAGTTGTGTGCTAGATGCTGTGGTGGCTGGCGGCCGTGTGGCGCACGCATGTTTACTGCGCAGCGAGCGGCGGACAACGCGGCCCAGGCGCGTTGCTGCCTCAACAGAAGCAATGGGGCGGGGCGCTGCGACAACCGGAAACTGCATCAAGTTGTGGTGCTCGGCGTGCTGCCGTCCAGCAGGCGGCTGTGTCGTACATGCTGCCAGGGCTGGCTGCCGCATGGAGGGCTGCCGCCTCAGCAGGATTCCCAGCAATTGAGTAATTGCTTGCTTCAGGAGGCTTCTGGACAGCAGCGGCGTAGACGGCCGGGCCGACGGAAATTTGGGCGTCTTCGGAGAGGTACAAATGGCGGCCCCAGCAAGGGCAGCACCAGCAGCAGCGGCAGGACTGGCAGCAGCTGCGCATGAAACACCATTGCAGGCAGCACCGGACTTGCCCAGCGCGGAAAGCGTGCTGCAGCATTGCAGCGCGCGAGCTGGCAGAGCGTTTGGCACGCAGGCGCCTGCACTTGACGCCCCGTTCAATAAGCAGCCGACGTGCGATGCATGCGTGACGTACGGCGTGCGGCGCGAGCTGTGGGCCTTGGCTCCGTGGTTCTGCTGCGCAGTCTGCGAACAGCTCCAGCCTTTTGGCGCTTTGAAGAGCATGCCTTTGGCATCGCTGCCAGGGCTGGCGCTTCTCAACACAGCGCAACCTGCAACAGCACAGATACTTCGCAGTGGTCGTACAGATGTGCGGTATAACGGCCGGAGCTACTGCTTATCGGGTGCATGGTGAGCTGTCGGCTTGGGCGGTGCTGCGTGGCAGGGGTGCGCTGGGGCTTAGCAGGCGCTACATTACACCATGACTCGATCTGCCGCACGGCTGATTTTGCCTCCATGGCAACCTTGATGCGCACGCAGATGTGCTTGAGCAGAGTGCTCCAATGGAGCTGGCCGCACACGAGTGTGCGGTGGACGGCACGCAGCTTCGCGGGATCAACAGCGCAATGCAGCTGGCTGCGGGTGAGGCGGGGGTGAGGTGTCTGCGATGCCTTGCGCGGACGCGTTGAGGCGGCTGTTGGCGTAAAGAGCGGCTGTGGCTGCGGCTTAAGCTACGCCTGCCCCTTCTTGCGTGTGAGGGTTTCCGGTCGTCTGCACGTGCAGTGTCCATCACCATGCTGCTTTGCCCTGCAGCATTCTCCTGAGCAATTTCAGCTCGCTTGTCCATTTTCACCAGCTGTGGCCGTTCAAGTGCAGGAGCTGAGCAGCCAGAGGGTGCTGGACAGGGCGCACGATGCACAGGTGCGTTGCTGTGTCTTCATTTGTTCGGCCGCTCAGCAGCAGCCGGCGACAAAGTGCAGGGAAGAGGAGCTGGTGGGGCAGGGCTCCACGACAACACCACAGATAAATCTCCCAATGTCCCCTCCTCGCCACCTCAGGCCCTTATGTTGACGTCTGTGGCGCCTGCCTCCTTGGGCTACAACACAAGCGCATGTCAGCCTTGTCAGTGGCGTTGTGGGTGACCCTGCGGCCATTGCGGCAGCCAGCAGCTTGGACGGCGTGCCGGAAACCCTAGTGCAGGCTGTGTTGGCTGCATCAGACCCAAGCGCCGCAGCGGCAGCTTCAGCCATACTGCACGACGACCGCGCCGGCAATGGCATCGTGCGGTTCGGCGCCGCGGCAGAGGCGCAGCAGCCGCCGAAGCTGCAGCGGCGGCCGCTGTCCCCGCAGTCGCTGGCGCGCCTGCGGGCGCGCTGCAGGCGGAAGACGGATTTGACGATGTGGAACTCATGCTGCCGCCCTCACCGGGGTGCGAGGGGCAACACGAGCTCGTGCGCGAGGCTGCGCAGGCGACATTGGACGCAGCTGCGTTGCTCAGAGACGGTGGCGCTTTGATTTCAACAGCGGCAAGGCAGGGCTGTCCGTGCAGCGACTATGACAGGGCATGGCCAGCGCGCGAGTTCCCAGACGCCAGACCTCTTCCCGTTTGCAATAGGCACATGCCCGCCGCCGCGCTGTGGCGCCGCAGCGACCGGCGCCATGCACGGGACCCGCGCTTTGTGGTGGCCCTGCAGAAGGTCATGCAGAGGCACGCAGCGCATCAGGCCGGCTATGTCCACTTGCACACAAGCCCTGCGGCCCGCGAGGCGCTGTTCGAGGCCTTGGCTTCTCGCCTCGCATGCCCTACTACTTCCGTTACACATCCCGATTCCGGAACCACCAAGGGCGCTCATGCGCCTGCGCTGCTGCTCTCCCCCCTTTGCGGCGTCGCCAACACTGCATTACAACACCCCACCCTTTGCCCCCACTGCGACGGCCGCGACCTTGATGAAACGGCTGAACATGCCCTGCTCGACTGCCCTGCCTACGCGGACCTGCGGGCCACGCCGCGCTTTGCACCCTTGTTTGCGGACCTGCCTGCACATGCCCGCATGCGCGCCCTTGTGCGCAGTGCGGACCAACATACACTAGGGGCCTTTGTGTACGCCTGCTTTGAACGGCGAACAGTGGCCCCTTGAATCCCTGTCACACAATGCTGATGCTACCAAGTCATATCCCATGAGCCTGGATGGCTCCAGGAGCGGGCGACCGCGGGATCTTGTAACAATTCTGATTTTAATCCTCATCTTGGCTGAGGAGGACGTGCAGAGGGCGCTTGAGTTGCTGCAAAGCGGCGCAGAGACGAGCTTGCACGCCAGATGTCGGAGGCGTCGCCGCAGGTCCGCGCCCTGTACAGGTCGTGTCAGCCAGCCAGCAGCCGTGTGGTGGGCAGCCCGGGTTTGATCAGGTCACTGCGCAGCCGCGGGTCTGCCTTGTGCCACACTGCCTGCCAATGGCAGGCAGTCGGCATGGTTGGCGCAATGAATAATCTGAACCCCAGCGACCTGCAGCCTACATTCCTGCCAGCCTGGCGGGCGCGTGTACGACAGGTTTGCGTTCAAGTACAAAACCAGCAGCCTCGACGCACTCCATGCGCACGGGGCCGTGACCCTGGCAGCTTGAGGCAATTGCAGGTTGATGGCGACGAGGACTAAGTGTGGCACCTGGAGTTGCTGCAGTGGCAGTCTTTACTGCGCAAGCTCGCGCTTTTGGCTGAAGACAGCCACGAGCCAGGCAACAGCTGGGGGCTCTCACTGGGCGAAGAGGACGGAGCAGAGCAGCAAGCCAGGGCAGACTTGGTTGGAGCCGCTGGCAGCTACACGCAAGCGTTGACGGCCGCAGTTGTCACACCGTACGCAGTTGTCACACCGTATCAGCCCAAGATTGCCGGCGCCATGGCCAACGTGGCACATGGCCAACTGGCCGGACGTCACGTGCTGGGCACCAGCGCCCACCTGGCATCTTCGAGGACCCAACGGCATGCCGCGTTCAGGGCGAGGTCGTCGCAGGCACAGCATGCTGCGCTTTCAATGAGCCTGTCTTATGCGCGTGGCTGGCAGAGGCGTTCGCGGCAGATGTGCTCCAGGCTTGCAGGATCTTGAGGAGTTGCCGGTTATCATGGTGCTTGCCAAGAATGCCGCCATTGGCCGGGCGGCGCTGCGCGCTGACCAGCTGATTGCGTTCCAGGTGGTCTGCAGCGACCCCTTCACGTATTGCTAGATCCCTGTTGCTGTTGGTCATCCTGTAGCCTGATGTAACGGTGCTGATGTGGTGCAGCTGCAACTGTTGTTATGGCGGATGAAATGGCGGATGTGGCATGCTCTGTCATCGCAATTCGGGAGCGCCGTGGCCCGCAGGCCAGGCGGCCTTTATCATATCATACACAAGGTTCACGGCTTTGGTCTGATGCAGGTCTGATGAGTGACAGGAAGTGACCTTCATCATGCTCCGGTGACCCCCCAAAGCACTTATATTCAGAAAAGGGTCGACGATCATGATTCCTGGTTTGGGTGCCAATTCCGCCATGGACCGCCAAATATAATATGCAGGGATCTCCCGACGCCCAGGTTGTGAAGCAGCAGCAACAGCAGCAGCAGAAGCGTCCCACACTCCTGGAAAAGATCAAGCAAAGACCCATGCGGTTCGCAGTCATCGCGGCGCTCGCGCTGGCGGTCGTGGGCGGCGCCGCCGCCGCGGCAGGCGCGACGCTGGCGAGCCACATGCCGGCCGCGCAAACCGGCGCGTCCGCAGTCGAAAAGGAGCTGCCGTGCTGCGTTCCGCTTGGCAGCAACATGCAGCTGCGATATGCCGTCAACGCGTCAGCGGGGCGGCTCGAGCTGGCCTTGATCGGCGCCCTCAACCAGCACGCGTGGATGTCGTGGGGGCCGGCGGACCCGCGGGCGACAAACAGGCTCATGGTGCGGCCACAAGGGGGGGCGGTGCACGAAGGCGGCAACCCTTGGTCGGCAGCAGCGTCCCATCGGCTACGCGGCAGGCCAGCCGGCAATCGCCCGCGCTTTCGAGCAGATTGTTGCACCCCCCTGCGGGTCGAGATGCAGCCGTGCCACGTTCTTGCCGTTGAGGAGCCACCCTCGCCTCCCCCTACACCCTGCTGCCCCCCCACAGGGCAGCGCTGACGTCATCGCAGGCGGCTTCTCAGACATCAACAGCGCCCCCTGGGTGCGCGCCGCCCCCCGCCCCGCGGCAGCGCCCTTCCGGCCCCAGCCCAGGGGCAGCTCCTCGCCCGGCCGCGGCAGCTTCCACCCCGCGGCACCGGCGCCGACGCAACCCCTCCAGACCGCCCCCCCCCCCCCCCCCCCC